TTGGAATTTGGTGGGATGAATCATGAATGGTTTATCGTTAAGTCAAAGTCGATCTTTAGTCGATGCAAAGATGTTCTCCACGTGTTAATTATCTTCTTTCTTTTTAGAGTAATTGCAAATTTGGTCCTTTAGTTTGCTGAAAAGCATGGACAAGGATAAAAAAATAAAATACAAAAATGTTAAAAAATTTTAAAATTTTAAAAGTTAAATTTTTTTTTCTAAGTTTTTAGGTTTTGTTTGAAAAGTTATATTAAGTTCTTTATAAATATTGTCAATAATATTCAATATTTATTACAAATTCAAAAACTTAAAAGTATATAATTTTATGTTTACAACGAAATTAATCCAAGTTAAGAACTAATCATTGCTCTTTATGTTAATTTATAAAATAATTACGAATTTCATAAATTAACCAGCTTTACAATAACTAAAACCAATTGGTGTGACTATTCACATAAAAACATAAATTTAAATATTTTATTAAAACCAAAACATGAATAGGTTAAAGTCAAAATCTAAAACATTAATCCGATATAATGAATCACACATAGTCGAATTAAGAATCAGAACCGGAATATAAAGGTTTTTAGCCAATCATGGCTAAAACGTGAATCCATAGATATGGTTGATAGGAGTTTTACAAATTAATTTATAAAAATACTGAATAGCAGTTGCATAATGTGTTCGTTAGTGTTTCTTTGCTCCCAAACTCGTCTTATGCTGCTCCATTTTGAGAATTACCGAGATAATGACATGTGTGTGTGACTTGCTTAAGTCAACTCAACGAACAAATGTAAAACAACCGTGTCACCAAACTCGGAGACCAAATGTTGACTTTGACATTTTAACTCGACTCAACCTAATTTAATACAAGGCGTATTTAACTCAACTGAGTTGAACTTCTAGAGTGTCAAAATGTGTTTTTTGATGTACTCGATCGAGTCAAATCCTAGGCAAAGCCTAACTCGACCTTGTAATCTTCTATAAATGATTATTTCTTTGAATCTTTTTGACTTTTACATATCAGCTACATTCTTCATGAAACTTGACCAATAGCTTCTGAACAACATCCTAAGAGTGTTCCAAACTTCGAACCACATTAAGACGTTTAAAAAGCATGCAAAGAAAATGTTACACGAATTTACATAAAAGTCCTAAAACATACAAAATGCATAACATATAAAACCTAAAAGTGATGTAAATAGATGGAATAAATGTCCTTAACTATGCATAAAATGCACTTAAACACATATGTATAGTGATAAAGAGAGATACAAAAGATAGATGGATAGAGTGAGTGTTGCCGGCCTATTTCCTTTTTTAATTATAAATACATGGGAAAATGATTTAGAAGGATAACTAACTCTTATCTGTGTTTACATATTGACAACTTTTTCTTTTTTATACATAATAAAGCAACTAACTTATTTTAACTGTTTAAATTACACCAATATTACCGGTTAATACCTGTTTTAACCGATAACTCAAAGGGAAAATGACTTAGGAGGGTAACTACCTCTTATCCGTGTTCACAAATTGACAACTTCTTATTTTTTGTACATAAGAAAACAACTAACTTGTTTTAACTGTGTAACATCCCAAAAATCATGAACAAAAATTTCGTTTTTAATTTAATACTAAAACCATAATTGTCAAACCATTAATTTAATACTCCGGCATCGGGTCCTGCCCGGCATCAGGCCCCGTCTAGCATCGAGCCCCGCTCGGTATACAAATCTGTCTCTCTTAGGCCCCGCCCACTAAACATATGCAATCATATAACATGCTAACACATAAAGAAACATAATTTATTGTATCCCTGTCCTAAGAAACATACTCAGCTAATAATGAGATACAGAACTTTGTCCGTACTCAACTAGTTCCAGCCAGGGCTTCAACAGTGCAAGGTGACTCTCCTCACTGTGTGAATATGTCTAAGGCCACAATGTCAGCCCATGTAGTCTATGGGTAGGAAGACCCGGGGGTTAGCCCTAGGCATTGTATGCTAGTATGTTATTCCAAACCAAGGTCCGATGTCGGGGTGGGTGCCCGAGGAATGTTTGCATGTTAGATTATACTTGTTGTCTATGTGATACTTGTATGTGCCTGGTAAGGAGGTGAGTGTGGGCGAGGTCCCATATCTCATCACTAGCTGAGTACGGACGATGTTCCGTATCTCATTATTAGCAGAGTATGTTTCTTAGGACAGAGATATAGTAGAGTATGTTTCTTTATGTGTTAGCATGTTATATGACTGTATGTGTTTAGCGGGTGGGACCCGGAGACAGGCGGGGCCTAAGAGAGACAAAACTATATACCGAGCGAGGCTCGATGTCAGGCAAGGCCTGATGCCGGACGGGGCCCGATGTCAGAGTTTTAAATTAATGGTTTGACAATTATGGTTTTAGTATTATATTAAAAACGAAATTTTTGGTTATGATTTTTGGGATGTTACACAGTTAAAACAAGTTAGTTGCTTTCTTATGTACAAAAAATAAGAAGTTGTCAACATGTGAACACGAATAAGAGGTAGTTACCCTCCTAAGTCATTTTCCCTTTGAGTTACCGGTTAAAACAGGTATTAGCCGGTAATATTGGTGTAATTTAAACAGTTAAAACAAGTTAGTTGCTTTATTATGTACAAAAAAGAAGAAATTGCCAATATGTGAACACGGATAAAAGGTAGTTACCTTCATAAGTCATTTACCCTAAATACATTAATGTTAATATAAAAATATAAAAAAACGAATTAAAAAGGAAAATAGTAATTTCAAGTTAGTTGTATATTAAATCCGTAAACATAAAATTAAAATGATAATAATATGGGTATGCCTGTGACCTAAGTAAACATACAATTATTAACTTTGATACAGTATGTTTTTTGGAATTCAAACATGAAATTAGAAGTGATTATGTATTTTCCTATTGATTTAGTAAGATATGTGAAAAATATTGTGAATAACTCAGTGGTTCATGTTCATATTCCGACATTACCCAACCCATGTGGCAATGAAACCATAACATAAGGATTCGTCGATTTACAAAAGTTTACCCAAAAATTCTAGAAAGTTTCATTTCCAAAATAATCATTATTTTAATTAAAGTTTACAGCAAACAATGCTTACAGTTTGAGTGATAATTTATCTTCTCATTATTAAAATTATTTTTACAAACAACAAGCTCGATCCTTTAGATCTAACACTTACTTGCCTCTCACTAGATTAGTGGGATTAATTTTTTTTTTTTTTGCAGTAAGGACTACGATCAAACGATAGTTGTGAGAGACTGAGAGTATTTGCATAGTAACCATTTCGTAAACATTTTCGAAATAACTACCAAGTAATATATTATAGTTATTTGAAGGACTTCATTGTGTAAATCATCATATTATTAACAAACAAGTAAAATAGCGAAAAGAAATCATGGGCAACTTATTTTATACCATCTCATAAATATTTACAAATTCACTAAATAGTTCTTCAAGTAGATATTCAAGAACATAACTAGATTAAACTAAAAGAATATAGTTACTAGTTGACCTTAAACAATTTTGGAAAAAATATTTTTGAATAACGTTAGCATCAATATCGATGAAATAGGTTTAAGTACATAATTTGACGTATTTTACAAAATATTTATATGTTGGTGAAACTTGAAACCTATACTCTATTTGGTTTGTCACCCTATTCATTATTGCTATCTAGAATATCTAGAACATTTTCCTTTTTCTCTTTTTTCTCTAAGATTATGAGAATGATGTCATTTTTGCAATGACCATGTTAGCTCCACGTAAGATTTATAACAATTATATCATTATTTTTTTGAACAACAACAAAATATATATTAAAAAACCTAAAACCAAATTCGAACAAGAAGCTAGAATACAAAGCATGTCAAGGTAGGATTGGATTTTGTAACCACACAATCCAATTTATCCTAGCCTTAGAGTTACAATCATATCATTATTTATCATGACAATGGACATATACCATTTTTCTATGGCAGATGAGAAGAGAAGGAAAGAGAGAGTGAAAAGAGTATGGGAAACGAGAGATACTTACACATATATGTTGAGCTTAACGTTTTTCTCCTTTTACCATTTTCACGAGACAATGGTCATAGTAGCATAAAGAGCCACATCATCTTTGTCATACCCTTGCCACACACACTCAAGTAGTCTAAAGATCACATTAATATAAAGTCAAAATTAACCAACTGAGTCCAAATAAAAGTTGTAGATTATGTCGCTACCTACGCATGGATATAAAGAACGTAAAAAATGAAGCTCGTATGTGAAATTTATAGATTTTAGAAGATAATTAAATTTTAGATTAAACCTCGAAGTGTCACGTGACAAGATCTAGGCCACTACTTCCTCCCCACGACTTTGCACGAGATGGAGA